AAGACACGGTCCCTGTTGGCTGTTCACTGACGGGAAACGCGGGTGATTTCCGATGCCTCTGCCCTTGGTTAGGTTGGGGAGGCGATTTCTGTAAAGTGGGCACGTATTAGTTCATTCCTTCTTGACACAAGTATTTACGCAGCATCTACTTATGCCCCTGACCTCGTGGAGCTGTGTGCAGGAGACAGGAGTTAGTCTGGTGGTTAGATCAGCGGGGGTGAACTTGAAGCTGTATTGAGAGCCATCAAAGGCAGCGCCTCATGGGTGCTGGAGGCAGAGGTGGGTGGGGACAGCTGTGTAAGAGGGAGGTTGATGCGGGGAGAGGGAGCCCCAATAGAGGAATGGGGGCAGTGACAGAAGCTGCAGCTCATTTCCCCAAACCTGTTCGCTCTACCTCCAGAACACCCACATAGGTGCTATTTCCCACCATCTCTTGCAAATAGCTGAGGCCCTCCCACTTCCTGCCCATGGAACTGATGTAGGGCCCTGTGGGTCTGGTCCATCACAGACCCTGGACATCCCTTTCTGTGTGGAGAATGAAGAGGACAGGAGGACACCACATCAAAATCTGCTGCAGGTAAGAAATCGACTTCCACTGGGTACAGGCAACTGGGACTGGGTGGTTATCCTCTATCACTGAGTTTTATCTAAACCACTCTAGGAAGCAACACACCAGCTCAGAGCTAGAGGGTGATGAGAATTCATCAGATGCAAAGAAAAGGGGAAAAGCTGGAGAAGCAGATTCAAACATCTCTGGGAGGAAGGACGGGACCGTGTGGGAGGGGCCACAGAAACAGCCTGAGAGTGAGGGGTGGCCCCACGCAGGAAGCTGCCTCTATCCTAGAAGGGCGGTGAACACAGTGAAGGATTCAGGTCTGGGGCCGGAAGGCATGAAAGGATGATAGGACCAGGTTCGCATTCTTAAGATGACTCTGGCTGCCTTGGGAGAATGTGCTAGGAAGCAAGAAGCAGGTGCCACTTGCTAAAGTCAGAGGGATGCCCATGAAAATGCTTCGGTTGCACACCTGTGTGAGCGCCCATGCCATCATCAGCTTTATCTAGGTCTTTGGATCGATAATAACTAGAAGGTCTGCTGCCAGTCTGGCTTGGGCCAGATGAGCCCGAGGTGAGGTCCAAACCACGTGATCAGCTAGAGGTCTGGGTGCCGACTGCACCAGTGAAAAGTAGACAGGCACGGCGATCTTTTCAGCACTGGTAAGGCTTGCACGGGAACTCGTAAGGAAGTGTGGAGGCCTCTCCATTTAACTGAATGCTGTATACTTTCTCTGCTGTCAAAGTATTTTCACTCAGAGGAAAGGCCAGCCGAGAAGCACCGCCCCGTCCTCTGCAAGCATCGTGATTCACAGAATGGCTGCTCTTTGAAGCCCCTGTCACAGTCACAGGAAAAGGGGGCAGCAGAAGAGGAGCAACCAGAGGGGCTTGTGGCAGGAAGTGAGGATAAACCAAAGTCTGCAGTGCAGGAGTGGGGTGGTAAATAAAATCAAACATATTATCCAGTCTGCTAAAATCACAGAAAACAACACCGAAGGGTGAGCTGGACGTTACAGATCCAGAGTACAATAAATACCTGCAGGCTGGGCCATCCCGCCTGGGGCATTTTGCTGCAGTCGCCCTGGCTGACTGAGACACCAAACCGTGCAGACTAAGCGGGGGACTAGAGCCTGCTCACCAGGATTTGAGTCAGAATTGAGGGAAATCTCCTAAGGATGACATTACTGTGAATCTTTTCCTTAAACACAAATCCTCCGTGAGCTCTAGCCAACCCTGAACTCTTCCTGACTCCCCAGTCTCCTCTTGTGATTATACTAATCTACACAGGTTAATCTAGGTGAATCTTCAGAGTATATACCACCTATACATTCCAAAGTACAGCAGGAGGCCTGCAAGACTTGAGAAAAGAGGACTGTATACAGTTAAAATCAGTTAACCCAAAACAAATGACCTACACGATTGAGCCTTTAGCAGATGCTGTGTAGGTGAGCATTACTATTTAGACTGGGAGGATGCCCCACCTCCTCTTGGACACAGGATGGAGCATAAAAGGACAAGACAGGAAAAAAAGGGGCTGAAGAAGATGAGGTGATTTTTCCTTGCCAATGATAGGATGGTCTACCTGGAAATCCAAAAGAATCTACTAAAAAAAAAAAAAAATGATCATGTACAGGCCAACATGATAGTGCATGCCTGTCATCCCCTCACTCTGGAAGGATCCCAAGTTCAAGCCCAGCCTGGACAACTCAGCAACTTCATGAGATCTTTCCCCAAAATAAAAAAGAAGCTGGTAATATAGCTCAGTCAAAGTCCCTGGGCTCAATCCCCAGTACAGGGAAAAAAGATGATCGATAGATAGCCAGATAGATAGATAGATGGATAGATAGTTCAGTAAGATGATTATAGAGCTACATATACAAAAAGCAGGTTTCTTAGGTAATAACAAAGCCAACTAAAGATCCCTCGGGTAAATAGGACAGCAAACACTATGAAATATCTAGAAGTAGAGTGAAAAGAAAAGTTCAAGAACTATATGAAAAAACTATAAAACTTTACTTAATGACTTTATAAAAGTCCTAAAATGCTAAAAAGACAATAGCATAAAGACTTCCATTCTTCCCATGTGCCACAGTTCATTTAGAAAGCGAATGTGATTCTGCTTGCCCGTGGTGTTCTTTTTTATTTTCTTCTTGGGTATCTTGGATGTTCTATTCTTGGATGTCTGTGACACCTGAATAACTCTCTTCTCTTAGCTAGTGTCAGTAGGGCCCTGTTCACTGCAATCAAATGACTACTGTGGCTGAAGCTGCCCTCCATCTCTCCTGAACTCGTGTTTGTTGATTCTTGAATCTTCTCTTACAGCTTCCTGCATCTCTCTGCAAATGGGCTTTCTCAGCTTCTTGCAAAGAATAGTAACAACAGTAGTAGTAATAATAGAATCAGTAGTAGAAAATAAAAACACTCCCATGTGAATATGTTTACATTGCGTATGTGCACCACACTGAGGGTTATCCTGCTGCACAGCCATAGTGTCACATCCACGTACACAGGAGGACTTCGGTAAGAACCGGTTAAATAAAATGCATAAGGACTAGGTAAGTTGGCACAGAAGGAAATGCATTAGGGACTCTCCAAGTTGCCAAGCCCCTGTGCCCACCCTGAAGGACTCCCTTCTTCCCAGGGATGAATACTGCAGCCCTTGGGAAAGAGGTCCTCTGGAGCCAGGAGTCACAATCAACTGCTTCTGCTGGCCCTCTGTGGCTTCTGACTTAACTTAACCCATTACCACTGGAGTTCAGGCCCTCAGGTCTACCTGGGAAGGGAAAATTTCAGTTCCTCCCTGTCACTCAAAAGAAATCATTCAAAATGAAAAAATCATTCACACCCCTGAGAGAGGCATATCTCTATCTTCCAGGGTCCTCTCTAGACCTCAGCCTGCCCCAGCTCACCTCATCCTCTGGCCCCCAGCAGGCTGAAGGAGACATCCCAGGCCTCAGGTCACTGGAGGGCAGATGCTCCACTCGCACGTTCTGCTTGGGGTAAGGTGGGATGCGTGTCCTGCCCAGAACTGGGGCAGCTTCCCCAGGAGTCTGAGGCCAGGAAGCCCCATACTAGCTGCCAGGTTCCGGGCACATTCAGTAAGGCGAGGCCCCCACTTCCTTTAGTGCAATTTTCAGAGGATGAGAGAACAATGGGTGCCGGGAGGGCAAGTATGGGAGAACCATCCTCACAACACAAGCACTGCTTCTTCTAGTTTATACTAGTAGCTGTGGGGGACATCTCAAGCCATCCGATTTGGGGGCCATCTCTGGAGGCTGTCCTCTTCCCAGGGGACACCCACCCCGAGCTGCCCTTGCTGCTTGTCAGGCTGACCCGATCCTAAGAGTGCTGTGCCACGGGACTTGATCCAGGAAGTGCAAGCACATTGCCGTCTCTAACACAGCCTGGAGCACTAGGCAGGGGGCTTCCTGACACAGCACAAAGTCTTCCCGGGGAGCTTTGTGGCAAAAGACCTCTCCTGTGTGCCAATCCTTCTCAACCTGTGCACACATGACCATAGAATGGGCCCCAAAGGGAACAGCTTTGCCTCATCCGACCCCAGCACACATCACACCCACACGCCTGCACACGAGGTACACACGCGCTCTCACACAGCACACCTCCCTCCTCCTCCCGCCATTCTTCACGTTGTGGCCTGAGACCCAGTGACGGAGCAGGCAGAGGGAAGAATCGAGGGTGGGCACAGCACACTCCGTGTGGAGCCCGGATGTGGGAAACGCCAGGGACTCCTACATCAGGGCTCCCTGTGGCAGAGCTCGAATGACAGCCACGGGTCCCTCTGGGGCGGGGGCTCCTCCACCTGCTTCCCAATGCACTCGCACCCCCAATAGATGGGCTTCTGACTCTGTGGGCTCAGACCACCTCGCCACAGAACGGGCTCCATGAGTGTGGGAAACAATTTATCTCTGAGGTTCGCAGGGTAGGACAGGGTGGGAGAGAAGCCAGCCAGCTGCTCCAAACGACAGCTGCGATGAAGGCTGGCCCCCGCAGGTAGCAGATGACAGGAGAGAGCTGGAGGGCGTGGGGGTGTCAGGGGACAGCATCCCAGCCACGCGGGTGCAGAGACCCGCAGGTGGGCATGAGGGTCCCCCCTGGAGAGCTGAACACATCTGGGTCATGCTCCACGCACAGGTGCAACACCCTGCCCACTTTTTGTTCCCCGAATAAGTCATAATCCCCCAAGAAACCTCTGAGGCTTTGGCACCTGGTGTACAGGGCTGCATTCCTGTCACAAGAAGAAAATATCCTGCCACCACCCTGGGTAGGAAGCACTGTCAGAATGCGGCAGGAGGCTGACAGCACATGGCTCACTCTCAGCACGGAAGTGCCTAACCAGAGAAGAGGAAGATAGGCACCTGGCTTGCAGTCGCCTCTAACCCTGGGAACTTCCCGGACTCAGATAAAGAGAGGCAACGGCCACACCGGAATCACTCGTTTAACTCTGTTTTATTACAACATCAAGGAAAGTGGATGCGGGGTCGGGGGAAGGTCATGGAGATAAACACAGAGATTAAGCTACTCACGACTTCATTGCCTGCCCCTGCCGAGGAGGGGCTAAATAGTATGGTTTCTGTACATGCATCTTGGGCTTGCAGTGCGTGTGTGCATGGTGTGTGGATGACTTCTCTGTACGGTGGTATGCTTTTAATTTCTCAACAGGTGACGGTTGGACTCAGGGTCTCTGGGTGAACTAGGAAGGGGCTCTCCCCGCTAGGACTGAGACCCAGCTTTCTTCTTCTGGAACTTCCTGAACTGGGACTGGATGGCCACCGCCGCCCGCTCTGTCTCTGGTGCATCCATGTCAATGTCGAACTCCTCCTGGACTTTCTTCTGGCCATCTGCAGCGAGAGAAATGCGCACACAAGGCAATCAGTGGGCTGCAGAGGGAACCCCACACACAGTGCTAGGTAAGCAAAGCCAGCGGCTCACGACAGGACACACGCTCGGGCGCTCGAGCGCCACCCGCAGGACAAGACCATGGGCATCCGGGCAGTTCAGAACCCGCTGTCCTCGGGCTGCCAGAACTCCAACCTGGGGGGAGACACTGAAATGAGAGGACAGGGGGTGGACACTTCCCATATTTTCTGCCCATGGTTTGGTTTGGTTTGGTTTGGTTTTGCAGTACTGGAGATCGAACCTGGGCCCTTTGCATTGAGCTCCCCCAGGCCCGTTTATATTTTTTATTTTGAAACAGGATCTAAGTCACTAAATTACATAGCCTGGGCTCAGACTTTAGATCCTCCTGCCTCAGCCTCCCAGAGTGCTGAGATGACAGGTGTGCACCAAGCCCCAGCCCTGCATGGCTTTATGCTCCTACAGGCCGCAGTTTACCTATGCTGTTACTGTTTCTTGCTCGCTCACAGAGACACAATTTAAATAGGTGCTCCAGGCGCTGAGGCAGGGGTAGCCAGCATCACAGGGTGATCCCCTGACATTGTGCACCCCTGAGGCCAATGAGATTTTCCTATCGGATTCAGGGCCTGGGTTTTTATCAGCCTCATGACTAAATGAGTCCTGACGTTCATGGTTAGACTGAACTCCCACACTGCAACCCTGTAGTCCAGCAAGGCGGGGTTAGCACCGTGTCTGCTGAGGCAGGAGGGTCGAACCCACTCTTGATGTAGCGATCATTGGAAAAACGGTCCCAGCTGGAAGGAAGGGAAGGTGCGGGCTGAGCGCCCCTTTGTGCTGTGCGCTGACTGGGCAATTTTCCTTTAGAGTAGTAGAAACAAATAAATAAAACCCTCCAGCCTGACCAGGAAAGTCTCTAAAGCTCCTCCAGGCCGGTGAAGGTCAGTGTCCCCACAGGCCCCCTACTTCCCTAATGTGGACACCTGGGCCCCAGCTGGACTCAGAACTGCCCCACCCCCACCCCACAGCCCGAGGGGAAAAGCGGCCCTGAGCTAAGGCTGAGTCAGAGTGTCCTTTTCCGAGATCCAGCGCATCCAAGCCCTGGGATTAGCTGGAGCCAGAGCCGGGACAAGGCCAGCTCCCTGGGTGAGGGCTGAGAGCCTCTGGCCACCAGCAGGCAAGCACACATGGCTCAGGTGGACAGCCACGCCCAGCTGTCCCCAGGCAGCCTGAGCTCATCACAGCTCGGGTGGCAGCCCTCACAGCGCAGGGGTAAGGCTGGTCGCCCTCTCTGGCATGCTCTGTGCTTCCCTTTCCTCTCTGTGACAGAGGAAGGGAAAGAGAGAATAGATGGAGGATAGGTATAGATTAGTTCAATGATAGGTGATAGAGACGTATGTCTGTATACAGATAGATCAAGGCAGGGAGAGCTAACAGAGAGAGCGATAGATAAACCCACAGGTAAGATGATAAAATAGATAACGGATGGGTAAGTAGATGATAGACAGAAAGATAGATAGATAGACAGACAGATAGACAGATAGACAGACCTACAGGTACATGATAGGCTGACAAACAGGCAGGTAGACAGGCACAAGAGGTGTGTGAGAGCCAGTGCTCACTTCAGCAGAGTGCTGTGTGGCATCTCCTTCCCGGGCCCTCCCTCAGCTGCCCTGGCTTTCCTAGAGACAAAGCAGATTCCGCCTGGAGCCCTCAACCTCGCCTTCACCTGGGTGGGGGACACTGGCCCCTGCCTTTCCAACCACGTCAGGCTGACAGGTTTGCGACCTTACCCAGAGAACTATTTTCTTCCCGCTCAGATTTTCTACCAGAGCCTGTGGATGCAAGGGTTTTGAATGCACAATGGCAGGGGACTCTTTGGGGACTGTTCTGTGTAACCCAGGAGAGCTCACATGATGCACAGGACAGGACAGTTGTCCCCGACCACATGGGGCAGCCCCTCACGTTACGGTCCACACCACAAGGTGTGCTGAGGGAGTGGACCGTTGGAAGCGGTAGGAGTGACTGGAACTCAAGTGGAGACTTGGAAAGACCCATTCAGAAGAGGGGGAACTAAAATGCACAAACACTTCTCAGAGTACAAGTGGCCAAAAAATACAGGAAAGAATGTCCAACACTGCTGGCCATGAGCAAAAGCAACCGTGGAAGTCCATCTCACCCCAGGAAGCAGGGCCATCATCAAGAAGTCAGAAAACAACAAAGGCTGGCGAGGCTGCAGAAAACAGAACGCTTCCGCACTGCTGTGGGAACGTACACTGGTACAGCCACCGTGGAACTCAGTATGGAGGGCCCTCAAAAACCTTAACCCAGTACGCCACTTCTAGGTACTTTCCCAAAAAAGTTAGCATATTGCGGTGACCCATGCACACCCGTGTGTGTAGTGGCACAATCATAAGAGCAAAATCTTAAAATCAGCCTGCATGTCCATCGGCAGAGGCATGCACAAAAAAATGGCATTTACACACAAAGGAGTACTACTCTGCCACAAAGAAGGATAAGTGGCAGTCATTTGTAGGAAACAGAAGCAGCTTGAGACCATTGTATTAAATGAAATACATCAGACCCACAAGCTTAAATAGCACATGGTCTCTCTTATGTAAGAAACCCAACGTATAAACACTAGAAAGCAAACTAGAAGATAATAGGACGTAGGGGGACAGATCTTTTGCAAACAGGAAGGAAACCAAAAAATAGAGAGGGGTGGGCGGGGGAAAGGGATATAAAAAGAATGAAGATGTAAACTCCCCACAAAGAGTGTAATCATTCTGTACTGGAAAATGCACTAATAAAACAATTTTTTAATGCTTAATTACTGCTACCCTGTTAACTTGGACCCAGAAGGCACAGATGTGAAATGCAAACTGCCCTGGCTCTGGGACTAATAAGATTAAACCTTTCCTCCCAGCAGAATCTGCAGCTCTACAGCACATGCAGCACCAGAAATCCTCCTTGTTCGTAGGAGGTTACAGTCGCAAATCCTTCTGTCCCCAAGGATTGGGACAGCAAAGGGGAAAAATCCACCGCAGTTCAGGGAAACAAGAGATTTCTCTTAGGCGTAAAATGTTGCTGCAACTTGAAGGTTGTGAAGGTCCTGATTCATCTTCTCCCATTTATAAAAGTGATGGAAAAGCCAACCATATTATTTTCTGACAGATGACAAATGCAGATGCAGAAAATTATATATATTTCGGGAACACATAATGAGACAGTCAGGCGAGGTCCTAAAGATCAATTTTACAATGATATCTGAAAATAATACCTTCAGTCAAAAGTGATGTATTGATCTTCTTTTGTTTGAAAAATATCAGTGTTTAAGAAGCAACCAGGGATATTTGGGGAACCCTTGCCTTCTGTTTGGTCTGGAGAGTCCCACGTTCCCTGGAGGAGGTCTGCACTCACACAGGCACTGAGCAGACCAGGGACGAGGAAAGAGAGGACGGATGCATTGCCAGTCGAGAAGTGACAGCTCCTCCAGCTCCATGGCGGAGGGATCCGCAAAACACAACCTAAGGGCCTGAGGCCGCCAGATGTGGTCCTGGCAGCCAGGAAAGGACAGCTCAGCTCCACACACCCAGGACTCAGCAGGAGTCCAGGGAGGCTGCAAGAGAGATTAGGGTCACATCCTGTGCTCAGCCCAGGGCCGCAGTTTTCAGGCCGGAGCTAGCCAAGCAGCCTCTTGAGTGTCCCCAGCCACAGTGACAAGGATGTAGGATGCAGGTAGGGGCCGCTAGCACTGCCAGCTGGGTCTTTCTGCCGCAAACACCTGGAGAGAAGGCTCAGCAGGTCAGCAAGGGAGGCCAAAGTGCCCTGGAGGTTCCTTTCCTGCGTGAGGAGCCTCGCACCTGGGCCTTCACCAGGCCATCACTACCTGGTCCTCTAAGGCTGTCCTTTCCTCCTGGATGGTCCTGTCTCCGGGCCCCACCAGAGTGTGAGCTATACTCCTCTCCTGATTCCCGCAGCCCTCACCGGGCCTGGCATGAAGGAGGCATCTAATTAATGGTCACCAATGAGTCCGTTAATTGTGACAAGCAGCTGTCAAGTCCTCACTTCTGGCTGGTGGACTAAGACGAGCAAGTTGCCCTCTGCAGCCAACCAGCTCTGGGGCAATGTGGCATCAGAACATTCTGCATCACTGGGGAGGGGGAGAGGACACAGGCATCCAGGGGAAGATACCATCCGGGGACCAGGTCCAGGGCCTCTGAGAGGTGCTTGCAGGCCAGGGCGCTGGGTGAGCCACTGCAGGCTGGAGTAGTGATCGCCACCCACACCTGGCCGGGAACAAAGGAAACGCAGCCCTAGTGTCCATGTCCTTGGGGTTGCGGCCCTTTCCAGCCCTCAGGGCCTCCGCATTCCAATGGGCCCTCCCAGAAGAACCTGGGGGTGGGGTCTGGATGAGGCCAGATTCGGGGTTGCCTCATCTGCCGTGTGACCCTGGGCAAGGATCTTAGCTCTTCTAGTTCTGTCTTCCCACGAAGAAACAGAGAAGGAAATCATTTTTCAAAACCTACTCTACCCAACTCCCAGATCAACACCTCATTGAAAGTGCAGCCCAGATGGTCTTGGGCCACAGGGCCGGAGCAGCACAGGCAGAAGGAGGAGGCAAGGACAGTAAGGTGGCCCCACGTCCAGTCGGTGGAAAGACACCTGGGCTCTGGGTGCTCACATAGGGAGGCAGGTGCCTCTTCCAAGGCCAGCTGCGTGGTGAGAGTGGGCAGCTGGGCTTGCTTCCCGGAGAGACGCAGTTAAACCACTTCCAGGAGAGCCTTCCCCGCCGTCCATGTGGCCCACAGCTCACAGATGGACTGACCCAACACTGGGACATGGCAGAAGGGACTGCCCTGGGCTCCACGAGGTCCACCCAGACATTCCGTCCAAATGTCACTGTCATCTCCAGCCTGCAGTGCCACCGTCTCCCTCGGGGTCTGTTGACTGTCTCAGAAAGATGTCTGAGGGTCCGTGTCTGCAT